AACAACAACAACAACTACAACAACAACAACAACAACACACAGACACAAAGGCAAATGCATAGGCCCTCCCCCTATTTTTTGAATAGAAGGGCGGGCCAAAAAGTCTTGTTGTCACTGATTTGCATGGCTGTTCTTGAGACCTAATATTCTTTACATCCCTGTTTCAGTCACCTTGGACTTCACTTGGTCTGTTTTTGGCCCGCCCTTCTATTCAAAAAATAGGGGGAGGGCCTATGCATTTGCCTTTGTGTCTGTGTGTTGTTGTTGTTGTTGTTGTTGTTGGCGTCTGTGTGCAAGGAAGGAGTTGAGCTAGAGTAACCAGATTTGGAGGGTACTTCAGGAGTACCGTCCAAACAAATAATCCAGTGGTGCAAATCCCGTCCGGGTCGCACAAGGGCTGCTGCAGGTGCATCATGGTTTACATGAGCGGGAGGGGGATTTCCGCCATTATTGGTGCTAGCAGGGCACATAGGGGTATTTTTGGAATCGGGGCGACGAGACAAGATGAATGGACCTGGTCCCGACCCCATCGGCCGCTTTTACAAGTTGCCCAGATCAGGATCTTCAAAAAAGGGGGTCGACCGACTAAAAAAATTTATTGCAGATTTCGATTGGTCTCAGCAAGACCTTTTCAACGAGGGGTCGGAAAGGGGGTCCAGGAGCCCGACTTCGTCTATTAGTCACATCAGGATCTTGAAAAAAGGGGATCGACCGACTGAAAATTTTTACTTAAGTTTTGGATAGGTCTTGGCAAGACCTCTTCAACGAGGGGTCGGAAGGGGGGTCCAGGAGCCCGCCTTCATGAGTTATGGGAAAAAGTGCGACGGACTCGTTTTGCGCTCCTGCTGTGCCTCTATTGCAAGGAGTTGCAGTGGCATGGCAAATATGGGTATTTTCGGAATGAGGGCGAAGAGACAAACGAAATGGGCATATTCTAAGGACAGTTGGAGTAAAAAGTGTAAGGACTATGCATATTGTGAATAGAAGGGCGGGCCTAAGTCACGATGGTACATCGATAACTTTGCTTTACCCGCTCACGGTGTGGGTGATGTGAGCGGGCCGAAGGCCCGGGCCTTCGACTGGCCAAGTTGGGTCTGATGCGAGGGCCGAAGGCCCGAGAAAAGGCCGCCGGCAGGCCAAGCTGGGCCGGCCCCCTGTCGAACCGAGTTGCCGGCGCAGCGAAGCGGAGCTGGCAATTCGGTTCGACGGAAGGGCGGGCCCTAGCTTGTTTTCCTTTCAGGACTTTGAACACTTTGATGTCTTGCCTAGTACTGAAGCAAATCAATGGCCCTTGGTCAATAATAATAATAATAATAAAGTTGTTCCAGACCAATTCATTGGGAATTTCGTGGTAAGCTGGTGAAACTTGAAGAGATTGTAATGTCCTGCCCCTGTCACTGTTGGCCTGTACTTATTTAGTCTCTTCATATTCTTCAGGTACAGAATGCGCACGAGGGAATCATCCAGACACAGGTGAGGCGTCTTCAGTTTCTTCTTCATTTTTATCAAAGTTTGCCCCTTCAACGTTTCATCATAATATTTGCAAGTGGGCTTTAAAAAAATTCCTCTAATTTACAACCTTGGCCTTTTATTAGGCCAAGTGTGATGAGTTCCAAAAATGAAATTCAACCCAAAATATTTATTTGTGTTTGAGAAATGTCACATTTTAGTGTATTTTAGAGCGTTACCAAAACAACCTTCCTGCATCTTTCATTGGGACGGAAAATCTTGAAAATTATTTTGAAAATTCTTAAGATGTACTGTACATATTTTAGTGAGGAAATTTTCAAATTCAGCTTTTGCCTCATGTTAAACATGTTTGCATGTTAATCATTTTAAAAAGCGCAATTTTTGCCCTTTTCCAAACTATTTATGTGCCTTTTCCCAAAAGTAGGCTCGATATTGAGAAATCTCTTTAACATTTCTCGACTTGTCATCAAAGAATAAATTCCAAGCAAGACGACTCATGTATGTGTGTACTAGGAACGCAGGAAGTCTTTCTATGACAAACTTCTATGTCGATCATATATGGCAGTGAAGTGAAGCGCATTAGCCTAGACACAACTGACGTTAACGTATTATTTCTATCCAAATGATAAAGAAACTACCCACTTAATTTTAAGGTTAAAACCCCTGAATCTGAAACCTTCCATGCACATTTTAAGCTTAAAACATTGAAGAAACTATCTTAGTCAATTTTGCCCTTTTTTCGCCAGGGTCCCCCCTTAAATGTTGCTCTTGACCATCGCCTGATTTGTTAAACATGCGTTGTTAACAGATATCACAGAACAGAACCCTCCTTCAGTCACCTTGGATTTACTTAGTCTTCTTTTCCCTTTCAGAACTATGAAGAAATAGTGACCGATCTGCTTCTTGGAGAAGAAAATCAACAATCCACTGTAAATAACAATATTCCTGAGAAAGTACTTCAGTATTTAATTTGTTTAAGAAGCACATGAGTGTTAAATAGGGGCAGAAGAAGGCGCCACGGCTGCCACAGTAGTCCGGCTAAAACATGCGGGACACTGTGGTGGTCATGCCATTTGCAGTTATGATTATCATAGCAGTGTGCACATATTGTTCAATTTTGCAAAGTTTCCAGTCTATGGATTTCAGTTTTCGCCCTCAGATTAGCATGGCTCAGACATACTTGTGGGACGTACAATGTGCAGTTATTGTTTTGTTTTAGTAAATAATAAATAATTTTTCTATGACATGTGAAGCGCTATGAGAGGGTCCTCTGATACATTTCCCTACAGAAACGTCCACCTCCTTTTCAAAAGGTAAAAAAACTTCATGAAAAGAAGTCTTCTGTGTATGGAATGTAAATGATAATAATTTTTCATGATTTTCCCAGTAACTCTAGTGGGGTTATAAAACTTTTTCTGTCTATCTGTCAGCAATACTCCTCCTGCACACAGCCCACTTGAGCTAAATTTCTGTGTAACCAATTGATTCAGTGGTTTTCATAGTATAGTAAACAAACGATTCAGAGTTTTCTATTTACATAGAAAATACAAAATCCTGAGTTTTATCCAGTCAACTCAATCAAAGCCCACTAAAGCTAAATTTCTGAGTAACTTATTGTTTTAGTGGTTTCCATAGTAAAGTATCCTTAAGATTCAGAGTTTTTCGTCTACTTGGATTAAATACGATACGTAGAAGCACCACATGCGCAGATAACTCGCTAGCAGCTAAAAGCGTCTACATGGATAAAAACGTAGGGATGGAGTAAATACGTAGGATAGTACCCAAAGATTCAGAGTTTCCCGTCTACATGGAGTAAATACGTTGTGTAAAAGCACCACCTCTGCAGTCAACTCAATCACAGCCCACTAAAGCTAAATTTCTGAGTGTTTTATCAAATTGATTCAGAGTTTCCAGTCTACATGGAGACCTGTTTTGTAAAGACTGCATTATTATCCCTATCGTTGAGAAGTAAGCTTTGGCCTTGAGCTTGAGCTTGCCCCCTCCCCAGGCCTGTGCCGCACTCCACCCCTCCGCCTTCCCCTACTCACAGCTCTACCGCACTCTTCCTCTCCCCGCACCGTCGCCTCAAGCCCTTCCCTTCCCTCCGAATATGATTCACCCACATACTGCCACAGCAGCTCTCGCCTTGTTTTGACTACGTCTTTATTTCCTTCCGCCACTGGCCTCTGCTCCCCTCCCCGCGCCCCCCGGCCTGGCGCCGTACACTCTAGAGTTCTTACGGATTACTTCATCCGTATTACAAACAAATTCATCCGTACCTTACAAACATTTTTGCGCAAGCGTAATACGGATAGCCTGATTTGTAACATACGGATGGCTTTGTCCGTAACAGATGTAGCTTTGTAACTACGGATAGTCTTACAGAATCCAAAGTAATTGCATTCATCGACACTCGTTATACAAACAGAATTCATAAATTACTCGTTGCCATACTGAGCGGAAACAGATAAGCAGTATATTATACTTTTTAATGCCAATTATCTTTTTTATGCACTAGCAAGCACTTTTACTTTTATTTGGCACATAATAGAGCTATTGATTGAGTTACTTGCTGATACGATAGACACACTGCAACCCCAAGTGTAGGACAAGTACGCACTATTTAGTGCGTACCAAAATGTCCTACGCTTGGAAGCGTAGACCAGCATGTCCTACGCTTGGAAGCGTAGGACAGCTTGTGGTCTACGCTTGGAAGCGTAGGACAGCTTGTGGTCTACGCTTGGAAGTGTAGGACACAATTTGTCCTACGTTTGAGTGCAAGGCACTCCAATCAAACACACATACTATCATACAGCAACGGTGTTTTGTTTGTTTTTGCCTTCACTGTCATGTAAGCCACAAACATAACTTATCAGGCTTACTAGAAATTAATACTCATTATTATTTTTCTGACTGTTGCTTTGAAACCTTCCACAAACAAGGTAACAGAGACGTCAACAAAGCACTTGTCTGGAGGTTTGGATCCATATGACCAATACAGATGATCAGAGAATGAAGAAGGAAAAGAAACAAAGGGAAAGAGCACTTACATTATGTCAGGTGTAAAGTCCAAGTACTAGGGAAGCATGCTGGCGGCTGAATCCAAAGTGAAAACGATAGGGTGCTTGATGCCAAAGCCCAGCTGGCGTCTGCAGCACTGCGAGCCGCGAGCCTAGCCTAGGCCGGCTAACCCTGTGGTCCAGGTTGGTAAGCACTCAGTCCGGTTCCTGCATCCTCGGGCTGATTCTCACGACGTTCCATGTCGAACCCGGCACTGTTCCAAGTTCACACTCGAGCTGTGTCCAAAAATCACTCACACGACACAAAGATTTCCACATTTCTACCCGAGCGAGTTACGAAAACGAAGTTTCAAATCACAACAACACAGCACACGGCAGTCAATTTTTTTTTTGTTTCTGCTGCTGATGACCAGAGGATGAGAAATTTATTGTTGCGCCACTGCGCTAAATTTCTCATCTAACGCAGCGCAGAACAGCGCGGGTTTTCGAAACCTGTAGTAACGGCTCAAAATGGCTTCGACGTCCGACCTAACTGGCACTTTCCTGGTGAAATTTGGCCCAAGAATAAAGAAGATTGAAGTGAATTGCAACATCACTCCATTTAGAAGCAGTTTGGAAAGTACCATTCGACGAGCAATGATGGGAGACCCCATGCTAAAGACCCATGCTCTCAAAGGGTTCTTCCTGACTCAACCTGATGTTACCTCCAACTTTGACATCGAAATTGACGATTCTACCGAGTTTTGGCAGGTAGACACGGATCGTCCTATTGAGCTGATGTTGCACAGCACATCAAACTTTGTGAGTATGTCGAAGGGTACAATGATATCTGCAGGCTGATTGCAAGCACTGCTTTCCTTGCTCTGTCTCTCTCTCTCGCACTCATGGGGCGTCGCGTATGGGTGCGACAGAGACAGACAGACTGAAGCATTTTAAAGGTTTTTCTGCAGGCTTCTGTGTTTCCTATTATCTCCTAGCACTTTTAAATCAAGAAATGTGAAAACAAGTTAGCTATTAGTTTATTTACTTTTACTTGTGCAATGCTATATCAATTCTTTTCTGCTTGAAGGAAATTCCATCAGTGCCTCCCAACGGAGCCCAGAGTCATCCAAACCGTTGCCAGTCGAACCAGCCTGCGCAGACCAAGGCTCAAGTTGCAACCGTTCCACATAAAGTAGCGGAATATTTGGAAAATATAGGTAAGATTTAGCTGTTGTTTGTGACACAATAAGGAAGACTTAAGTTTTTTATATGCAATTAATTATGTTTTAATACAGGTATGAACGTCCACATAACACCTACTGAGACACCTGTTGTTGAAGCACTGGTTGAGACTGAAGCTGAAGCAACAACACCAAAATGGTGAGAACAAGTAATATTTTGGTAAACACGTACACTAAGCCATAAATAGATCTTATTTGCTCCAAAGAAACTTTATAGCCTGACAATTTGAGCAATCATAAAAATATATCAGATATAAAAACAGAAGTATTGTGTTGTCAAATATTTTTAAAAGTGGCATGAGTTCCTCAAAATAAAATTAAATTACAAGTCTTATGAAGTAAAAGTAAAGTCATTTCACAATTATAAAACTGACATAAAATTGAACTAGCTTAAAATGAATATTTATGTCACAAGTTACACAACTTTCAAGTGACATCAATTCTTTCTTAAAAATGTTAATTGCACAGATCTGATATGCATTTTAGTCAACATTCTTAAGTCCAAAGTCAGGACAATGTTCCCCTTAGCTATGTATAAATTATGTTTTAATGAGCACTGAAGTTTACTATCTTTCAATGTTTGTATTCAGCAGCAGCAAGCAACAGAGGCATGAGAGTCACCAGAAAGATATTATTCTTTCAAGTCCACCGGCTAGAAGGTATGTGTAAGCAGTGATAACCTGCTTTTTCTAAAATGCGAGCTTATCTCAAAATTTTCTCAATCATTGTCTTCAGGGGCAAGAAGAGAAGGTCTGAGCCTGAATCACCAGAATCTCCAGTAGGAGAGTATTTGGAGAAGGTCTTGAAAAGGAGAGAGGCACTCAAAGAACTTGCAAATCAACTCGTACCGAAAGAGGCACCAAAGCTACGATCTGTAACAAAGAAGCAAGAGAAAAAGAAAGGTTATCCACTTTGCAATGAGTTACTTTTCATAATTTTACAACTCTTGAAAGTGTCAATGTAACTGCTTTGATTCCGTTCCCAGGAAAAGAGAATATTGAAAGGCGGATCATGCCCAAGAGAGCAGCGAAAGATAAGCCCAAAGACTCGACAGATGAGACAGAACCCGAAACAGATAAGGCAGGTCCGGAAGAAAGTTCCAGCACTGGTGAGGTCCCACAAGCTTCGCAAGGTCCACTATCAACTAACACAAAGAGAGTAGTTCAGGTAAGTTACAGAACTACCTTTTCTGATAATAATAATCTAATAATAACAACAATAATTCACTGCCTGCTAATTTATTACAGCTTAGAGTTGTAGGGAATTTTCATAAACTAAAGGTAAGTTGCAGTTGCATTGGACATTCTATATAAGTAGAAGTAAAATTACAAATAACTATTTTTGCATTGTGCCTGCAGGATAATAGGCCCATTGGGAAATGGATAACGAGATCTACCCCCCTGCCCCCATTTCCAAAGAAGTTAAAACAGAGTTTCGAAAGTGGCATCTATGATACCAGAGCACTTAACAAATTTTTGAAAGACCATGTGGAAAATGTCACTGGAGTAACTTCAATAACAAAGGGTGAATACAAAATACTTGGGGAGCAAGTTTCAAACAGATTTAAAGCTATGAAATTAATAAATGCTGAAGGATACTCGGTGAGCAATTTCTAGTATCTGGATAAAATTAAATGATAACTTTTCATGGTAAACTAATTTTTTCTTTTTCTACAGCTAAAAGTAAAGAAGAAACTCAGTGACTGCTTCAGAAATGCTAGATACTATCCGAAGAAAAAGGCGAGGAGGGTAGCGAAGAGAAAAGCGAAGAGAGCAGCAGCAGCACTGAATGTGTCACTTGAAGAAACGTAAACTATTTTCTATTACATTTTGACAAACATTGCAAATTGATTAAAACTATAAATTTTTTTTACCTTAATCTGTGCACTTCTTTGCTCCAGGCTTGACGATACAGCTGAAGATGATGCAGAACCACAAGATGAGGTAGAACCACAAGATGATGCAGACATGATTCTTCAAAAACCTGTGGTCAACAAACAAAGTGTAAAGATGTGTATTACTAAATCAACCAAAAGGATTCCTTTCATAAAAACCCATGCAGTGCAGGTGGTGCTGAATAAATACCCATATCTAAAGGAAGCTGATTTGGTAAGAAGTAACCAGAACTTTAAACTTAGGATTTAAACTCCTACACAAACTGAAATACAATCTAATCTTTCCTGTTGCAGCTAATTTATGAATACAGCACAAGGGTGCCAATGCCTCTGGATATGTTAGAGGAACATTATGCTAAATACATCCCTTCACTATCACATATTTTAAACGAAGCTTTACCCTCACATGATGACGAGCAAGCCAAACTTATGCTTTTCAAAAAACTGGAAGACTACTTCTCAGGAGGAGAGAACCATATACCTTCAATTCAATTTTGTGAAGTAAGTTTTAATTAGCTGCAGCTCTCAAATTTAGTGTTATCCAGTGTAAAGGATTGAAGCTCTAAGAAATATTTTGTTATCAACAGGCATCAAACCGGAATGCTGTACCATTAAATTCAATACCAAAAGGCCAAGCTCCAGCCCTGGTAATACTCAAGGATGACACCAAACTGCTGAGGAGTGCAACATTGATATTTGATGGTGGCATTCTTACAACAGCAAGCAATCCATCAGCCTTTGATTGCATAACTTTATTGATGGCAGGATATTGGGTATTTGACCTGGATTACCCGAACCCTTATAAGCAGCATATGGAATCCATAGAGGCTTTACTACATGACAGTGTAAAAGATAGAGCAAAAGAAGTAGCAAGATTTTCAAAAATGGATGAATTTTTTAGGAAATTAACAATTGCAATTACTTTACAATAATTTTTTCTACTCTAATAGAGACAAATTGTGTACCTGATAAAATAATAAGATTTGTGATCAAATATTTCAAATGGAACATATAAACCGTTCCAGAACAAGTGAGCCCTCTGCAAAAATATTTTGGACTTACAGTTTATCACTTTATTGATTGTCATCTTTACATGAAGGCTTTGGTAAGATGGACAGTTGGAGAGATGCCAGTCTAAAGTAAAGAAAACAAAAAGGGTTTGTTACATTAAATTACAATCCAAATGCAATCAAATCAAATGATATTACTTATAATTTAAACTTCTTACATGTAATCAAACACTCCATGTTTCCAACACGTTAAAATAATCAACTCAGGAACAGTATATTGTTGGAAACCATTGTAAAAATTCTATGATTTCTGAAAAAAAAATTCAAAACAGGAAAAATATTGAAATAAATGAATATTAGATTTATATTTCTTGTATGTCTATTTTAATTACCTTAAGTGATGAGAGGCAAAAGTCATTTAAAAGAAACCATGTCACAGCTTTCCACACTGAAATATGCTACATTTGAAGAATTCGGGCAAAGTGAACATTGCTCAAATGACCAGACAAGACACCTGTAAGTAAGAATTTATAAATGACCAGACAACACACTTGTAAGTAAGAAATTATGTTTGATATAAAATAACCTGTCATGCAATTCATAGAATAGAGAAAACCAGATATCTTCTCATCAAAATATTCCTTGGTATTCCAGAAGTACTACTATTCCATGTATGAAGAACCAAATTAGCTGAAACAAAAAACACAATTACTTATGAGCAATCTTGCACTTCTAACAACATCAAATGTATAACATTTGTTAATATTGTAATAATTACCTTAGGGAGAGAGGTCCATTTGGAGATTATCCCTAGAACAGCCCAACAAAGAAAAAAGGGAGTTGATCAAATCATTTATTCTTGGAGCACACAACTATCATTGAGGGCAACCTGTAAATATAAGAGACAAAAGACCATCTTATTTGTAAGTAATTTATGTTCATCACAAAATGACCAATTTTAGGGCATACCTTATTGAAACATGTCCTATGCAACAATATCCCCTGAACTGCCAGACACAAGAAAAGATTTTGTATTGTTGATGCCAAAATGCACATCAAATCTGGCAATAGGAAACTGCATGTTGAGGTCTGACAACCGAATGCACTCAGTAGCATGATCTCTTCCTTGAATCTGAAAGGCATTCAGCTGTGTCAGATGGTTTACTCTCAGCTTGTTGAGTAGAAAGACCATTTCTTCACTGATGAGAAAAATCTTGTTGATTATTCCAAACCCAGGAACTCCATTGCTTGGGAGTGAAATTACAACATCCTTTTTCCAGGTCCTTCCATGCTTCTTGAAAAGGCTAACATCAGAGACATCAACATTTGAGTCAAAATCAGGAAATGCTGTACAAATGACTTCTTTCTCTGGCAAAGATGAAAGTTTAACCAGTGGACTCTTTCTGATCGTATCCCCTTCATAGAGAAAAGTGCCATCAGCTCTACCATCCATGATCTCTGCGTTCCTTGCACACAAATGCCTGCAGGCCAGAGAAAATTCTATGTTCTTCATATTGTTGATGATATCTACTAGCCTAGTAAATTCTCGATGCATACCTTCATATCTAAAGCAGCCCTGTTGTCGGAGAGGCCCATGGAGGGTAATTTGAAGTCTCAGGTGTTTCAAAGAATGCAATTTCAGAGTCTTGTATTGTGGATAGAGTCGAACAAATTTCTCTCCGAATGAAATGATTGCGCTATCCAAGTCATCCATATCCTTATCAGAGACCTCGAACTTCATGCCTGATGCAATCAATTTGATCAGATCTCCCAATAAATTCAGTTTTTCTTCAGATACATTGTTGTGAGCAATGACAGCTAGAATGTGGATTAAGACAATCATTTGGGAAGCACTCTGCTTCAGTTTACTAGTAAGATGTGACTTCTCAATCATAGATGGCTTACTTCCATGCAAATGCCCAAAGTCACAACATTCCTGTAAGATTTCATTGACCCTCTTGAGTGAAACCTTTGGTTTTTCTGTAGGTGTTCTTTTCCTTTTGCTTGGATTGGTGGGCTCTTCTGGCTGTTCTGTCGCAGTTCTCTTCCCTTTTCTTCTGGAGCTCTGAGGCTGTTCTGCTTGTCTTCTTTTCCCTTTTCTTGGATTGGTGGGCTCCTCTTGCTGTTCTGCTGGAGTTCTCTTGCGTTTTCTAGAACTGCTGGAGTCCTGAGGCTGTTCTGCTGGTGTTTCGCTCTGATCTCTTGAGCTGGTGGGGTCCTGCAGGTGAACTGGGCGAGGAGTGCAAATTTCCAACAGAATCAAACGGCAAAGAAGTTCTCCTATGCCTTCAAAAAACACATGCAAAGGATCGAAGGGAAGGCACTTGGTAAGGTCAAAGCCCGGAACATCAGCTAGAGCACTTCTGGAGTTGATGCCATAGTTTACTGATGGATCAGGGTGATCTGAGTATGTGACAGCAGGGTTCACATCCTGAATAAATTCCTGCTCCTCTTCATCACTATCAAAAACTTCAATATCAGTCTGTGTTAAACTTAAACTTACTGTGGTTGGCATGGTAACTGGTGTTTTTGACTGAACTTGTTGCACATACTTCTTATGTTCTTCAATGCGTCTCAGCAGTAAATAGTTTTCTTCAAAGTGCTCACAAAGCTCAAATCGAGTAGCCATGCAAATACGGCATGGCCTCAATGCAAAGTGCGACTCCTTAAATCCTCCAAGATTAGCTG